GAGAAAAGAAACTGGTGGGCAAAAACCCCACCTGCATGTGTGATGGGAGGAGAAGGCGCCTGGGGAGGGGAGGAGACGGCGCTGGGGAAGGGAGGAGAAGATGCTGGGGCCCCTCAAAGGCTACCCCCAATTTAGTATTTACAATTATCCACATTTCTGAACACCCTCCCCCACTCCCAGCAGGACACCTCTCTGGGGCAGAGCCTGCCTTTAGCCTGGCAATGTCCAGCCTCCCAGGGCTCCTGCTGGCTCCAGGCCGTCAGCTCGGACACAGCTTGGCCGCTGGGGTGCCCTGAGAGCCAGGCCACGGGTGTCACTGCCACCCCACAGTGCACACACCAGTCCCCAGACGTGAGACTGCCAAGAAGGCCATCTGTGGCTCCAGGGCAGGCAGGTGCGAGAGGGTCTTGTCATTGGCTGGACACTGGTCATGCCTGTTGGAGGGATGTGTTCAACCCACGCATGAAGTGTGGGCATTGATGTGTGTGAGATGTGGGGAAGGGGTGTGAGGCTCCATGAAGGCCACCCAGGTGCTGCAGGGGCTGCTGGGGGGAGGCCGGCGAGAGGAGCAAGAGACTGCAGATGGGCCCCCACCCCACCCCCACTCAGGACCCCACCCCAGCCTGGCCTGCGGCGGAGCTCCCCGCAATCAGCATCTCGTTTTACTGCATGAAAGCTGGGGTGCTGACAGCCCCCTCACTCGCCTGTCGTTGGCCTTCATTGTAGAGGCCGGAGGCTCAGCGCCTGGTGCGGGGTTAATGATGTTAAAATATCTGGCCAACATTTAAGTAAGCACTTTTCACCTAAGGGCAGCTCAGGCTTGGCACTGTCTCTTATACACATCTAGATGTGTATAAGAGGCCGAAGCTGCCCTCTGCCCTCCGGTCGGGGAGGGGACCCTGCACTCCAGAAGCCAAGGAGATCGAATAGGAGGGGCTGTCGGTGTGTCTGAGGCAGGGGGTCCGCCCTGCGCCCCACCCAGCCCGAACGCCAGCCCGGACGCCAGTGGGAACAGTGTGCCTCCTGGATCCAGGGGACCTCTGAGTGACCACAGGGCCGGGGTCCCCTGTCACCCCACGGCCGGTGCAGGGAGCGCTGGACACCGGGTCCCACCGGCCCCGCCAGTTCCTCCTCCGCGCTCGTGCGCTCCCATGGCCCTCGGCCCAGCGCGGTGACCCGGGGGCATGGAGCCCTTCCTCAGGAGGCGGCTGGCCTTCCTGTCCTTCTTCTGGGACAAGATCTGGCCTGCGGGCGGCGAGCCGGACCACGGCACCCCCGGGGCCACGGACCCCGGCGCCGACCCAGTGCCCGCGCTCCCCGCGGAGCCCTGCAGCCCCTTCCCGCAGCTCTTCCTTGCGCTCTACGACTTCGTGGCCCGGCGCGGGGAGGAGCTGAGTGTCCGCCGCGGGGACAGGCCTGTCTCTTATACACATCTAGATGAGCCCCTTCCCGCAGCTCTTCCTTGCGCTCTACGACTTCGTGGCCCGGCGCGGGGAGGAGCTGAGTGTCCGCCGCGGGGACAGGCTCTGCGCCCTGGAGGAGGGGGGCGGCTACATCTTCGCGCGCAGGCTCTCGGGCCAGCCCAGCGCCGGGCTCGTGCCCATCACTCATGTGGCCAAGGCTTCTCCCCAGACGCTCTCAGACCAACCGTGAGTACCTCGACCTGGAGTCAGAGCCTGCCTCGCCCTAGTCTGGGGAGTCTGGAAAAACGGCAGGATTTTGAGTTTGAAATCGCATGTCCGTGGCTATCTGCTCATTCATTCGTTCATCCATGCATTCATTCAGGGGCAGTTGATGAGCCCCGGGCCGGCAGGTAGGGTAGGAAAACAGCAGAGTCTGCTGTGCACTGCCAAGAGGGAGAGGAGGCTCCACAGGCCTGGTCAGGTCCAGGGGACACCAGCTGCACCAGCCCAGCACCCAGCGGGCGGTTCCTCCGGGACCCTGCCTGGCTGGCCAGGCCCTCCCGCCCTCACACAGGGAGTCCAGTGTTCATGGAGTGGTCACTCCTTGGAGGGCAGGGGCTGGGGGCTGGGAGGCACCAGATGACATAGGGGCTCATGCTCCAGGAGCTCTGGGTGAGGGCAGGTGAGCAGGAGCTGCAGAGGCACCTAGTCCAGATGCCCAGTGCAGCTGCTCTGAGCAGCTTCCTTGGTCCTGTGTCCAGCTGGGCCAGGCCTGAGCCCTGGAGACCTCCGGCTCAGCCTTGCTCAGGGCCACTTCCAGCCTCCTGGGGGACCCTTGGCACTCACACATCGTCCTGAGGGTTGCATGGGGTGGATGAAGCCAGAGTCATAGGAAGGTGTCTTCTGAGAGGCTCCAGGCCCTCACCGCACACCTGCCTCGCTTGCCCTGAGCAGTGGTTGGGGGGCAAGCAGCCATTGTGATGGGAAGGGGTTCACAGTCACCGCAGGTGTGGAGGGCAGGTCCCTTCAGCAGTTCCTGGAGGGCAGGGCTTGGGGTAGAGCAGTGCTGTCCATAGGCAAAGCTAATGACTATTTGCCTAGGCTGGAGATTAAAAGACTAACCACACTCAGGTGTCATTAGCTCCAGACACCTGGCCCCGCGCCCCAGGGAGAGACCTCAGGCACATCCCCTGCATCTCAGCATCCACCTCCGACCCCCAAGCCCTGATATGGGTGTCAGAGGGGCTGGCGATGTGTCGGGGAAACACCTGTGTCTCATGCCCACACTCCGCAGTGCCAGGAGGGGCCTGAGTCCCTTCACACGTGAGAGGGTTGCGTCTCCCTGCCAGCAGACCCCAGAAGGCAGGGGCCCTGGCTGACAGAGCATCCATGGAGCCAGCGTCTCAGGCCGCCACCTCCCAGTCCCTGGTCCCACAGCTCTTCTTCTCCATCTTCATTCCTTTCAACCTCAGCCCAGCCCCATGGCCCTGGCCATGCCGGTTTCTGTTCCTGCTGCCCCCATTGCCCCCCAGGTCCCCGGGGCAGGGGTGCCAGACTGTCCTCCATCTTGCCCAGTTCCAGCAGCCACGTCTGCCCAGGATGGCACGGCTGTACCCCAGCCCCGAATCTTGTGTTGACTCTGAGGCCCGCCTTGGGTCCTCTCCTAGTCCCGCCGCCCGGGTGGTTTCAGCCCCATCCTGACACCTGGCTCACTCTGCTTCCTCCTTCTGGTGCTCACAGGGTGTGCCCTGGGGCGGGGGAGTGGCAGGTATCCCTCCCTGGGTCCCAGGAAGCTCCAGGGTGGGAAGCTGAGTCAGGTGTGGAGTCCCTGCCTTGGCCTTCGGAAGCAGAGATATGTAGTCGAGGTGGGGCTGGGAGCGTTTCTGTCTTCCTTCCAAGGATGCCTCTGGAGTGAGTAGCTGTGACCTGGTGGGTGACCCACCTGGACAGGGGAGCCCCAGCAGGCCCCTCTCCTGACACCGGTGTGGGCTCCTCGTGTTTGGACATCTGAGGAGTGGGTGCCTGGGAGCTCCCGGCCACCGTGCCACCATGTTCAGAGTGGTCTCACCTCCACCTGGCTTTCCGGAGGGGGGCTCTGTGTGGACAGAGGCGAGTGGGCTTGGGGCCATCCTGTACTGGGCACAACTCTTCAGAATAGGATACAGGATGCTTTGAACGTTCGCCCAGCAACCCCCCTGCAGCCGCCCATTGGCTGCCCCTCCTGACCTCCTGCCCAGCCTGGCTTAGGCCGCCTCCTCAGGACAGAGCTCTGCATGGGCCATCCCCCCTAACCAACTGCCTGAGGCAGGTGGGCTGTGCCCAGCCAGGTGGCGCCTGTGGCCCTGTACGACCACACCAACAGCCCAACAGTGCTTCCCGGCAGCTCATCAGGCCGTCGGCTCCGTGTCCGCGCAGGGGCTCAGCGAAGCCGAGTTTGGAGGCCTGTGGCCTATGGCCAGGCCTGACTGTTAACCTGTGGCTGGGGCTGGCGGTCACTATGAACAGGAAACTGGAGGTCACGCCCAGCAGGGCTAACAGAGAGCCCACGGCCAAGGTGAGGACGCTCAGGGCTGAGCAGGAGGATGGGGGCTGAGGCAGTGCAGACCTCGAACTGGGACTCCAGCCCTGCCACAGGGTGGACCTTCTCCCTGAGAGGCAGTGGGACCGCCGGGCTCAGCCCTGCCACCAGCATGGAGGAGAGCATGTGGGGCCACTGGCTGAGGGGCCTGCAAGGTGACGCCACACCTGCTGTTTTCAGCTGGTTCTTCAGTGGAGTCAGCCGGACCCAGGCACAGCAGCTGCTCCTCTCCCCACCCAACGCACCGGGAGCCTTCCTCATCCGGCCCAGCGAGAGCACCCTGGGGGGCTACTCACTGTCAGGTACCTGGGGCGGCCCCTCCTGCCTCTGTCCCCCACCAGGCCAGTGCTCTTGACCTTGGGGCAGTTGGTCTCTAGGCAGTGCTGGGTCCTGAATCACACCCGGCGCCACTGAGGGCCCAACAGCAGATATGCCGGTCACCTCCTGCATTTGCTCACTTACCCATTCATTCATTCATTCATCCGTCATTCATCCACTCACTCGTTTATAACATCACTCATTCACTCGTTCATTCATTCCTCACTCACTAATTCACTCACTCATTCATTCATCGTTCATTCACTCCTCACTCACTCATTAATTCACTCATTCATCCACTCATTCGCTTGTTCATTCACTCCTCACTCACTAATTCACTCATTCATTCATTCACTCATTCACTCATTTATTCACTGATTTGTTCACTGGCTTATTCTTTCATTCATTTGCTTATTCACTCATTCACTTTTTCCTTCTTTCCTTCCTTATTCCTTCATTCATTCACTGAATCACAGACTCATTCATTCTACAAGTATTTATTAAGTGCCTACTCTGCACACACTGTCAGCAGAAAAGCTCCAACCTGGACCCCTCTCGCTGCCCCGCCCCAGCCTGTGGCTGCCCACACTGCCTCCTCCACACAGCTAGGTCTGAGCCAGACCCCTTAGGTGGGTTGTGGCCAGCATCCTCTGGGGTGGGAGGGTCGGGGCAGCTGGCAGCCGAGGCAGGGGTCTCCATCTCTGAACCCTTCCTAGTCCGGGCCCAGGCCAAGGTCTGCCACTACCGGGTCTCCATGGCAGCCGATGGCAGCCTCTACCTGCAGAAGGGTCGGCTCTTTCCTGGCCTGGAGGAGCTGCTCACCTACTACAAGGCCAACTGGAAGCTGATCCAGAACCCCCTGCTGCAGCCCTGCGTGCGTCAGGTGGGCCTATGCCTGCCAAGCTGCCCCACACTGGCCTGAGGCCTGGCCCTGTTCTAGGTGCTCCTCCCCACCCCATCTCAAAGCCCCTGCCCAGGCCTGGGAACATGGGGCATCCCAGTGGCCCCTGCACATGCTGCTCTTTGCTGGTGTCTCCGAGGGCTGTTGGGATTCCTGGGGGTCTGGGAGTCGGGAGAGGAGAGCTGTAGCAGTGCCCGGCTCTGCAGGGAGCAGCCAGGAGGGTGGGGCCAGTTTGGGGAAGGCACTCAAGGCTGCCCCAGGCCCCAAGGGTGGAAGCTGTGGGAGGAGACGCGGATCACAAGATGCTGCACCTGGGCTGGAGCTGCTGGATCCCGGGGACTGTCCCCGATGTGAGCCACCCTGCTGAGGGCCAGGGCAGCAATCTGGTTTCTCTGGTCTCATAATGACAGCCTGGCCAGCAGCAGTAATGAGCATGTGTAGACGGATATCCGGCTGGGGCAAAGGTGCCACTTAGGCCCCCAGAGCAATGAGATCCCGCAGGGCTGGGCCGGGCCTCCAAGTCCAGCACCCACTCCCCTTTGTCCCGGCCAGGGTGGGGTGAGTGTGTGCTGGGGACGGGGGTGCCCGCTGGAGGCCTGGTGTGGGGGCTCTGCCTGGGACAGAGCACAGGGGCTCATGCTGACCAGCCTCCCTGCCCACACTTCCTGGGGGAAGCGGGCAGGGCACTGAGCTCCCTGCTTTTCTGCTTCCTGCAGAAGGCCCCGCGGCAGGATGCGTGGGAGCGACCACACTCCGAATTTGCCCTTGGGAGGAAGCTGGGTGAAGGCTACTTTGGGGAGGTGTGGGAAGGTCTGTGGCTGGGCTCCCTGCCCGTGGCGATCAAGGTCATCAAGTCAGGTGAGGCCCCAAGATCCTGCGCCACGGCCGGGCCCCACACCCGCTGTCCAACCCTCAAGCCCTGGGGCAGTGATGTTCGTGGCGTGGGCCAATCCTGGAGCCATACCCTGTCTCGCAGCCGACATGAAGCTCGCTGACCTCGCCAAGGAGATCCAGACGCTGAAGGGCCTGCAGCACGAGCGGCTCATCCGGCTGCACGCGGTGTGCTCGGGCGGGGAGCCTGTGTACATCGTCACGGAGCTCATGCGCAAGGGAAACCTGCAGGTCTTCCTGGGCAGTGAGTCCCTCCCTGCTGCCACGTGGCCGCGCCTGTGGCCGCCCCTTCCCTTCCGGGCAGAGCTGAACCTGCCGGGGTCCCGAGGTGAACCGGGCCTCTCTACCGGGAGCAGGTGGCCCCAGCTCCAGATCCCATCCCTGTCTGGTCTCCAGCCAACAGAGGGCTGGGGCCAGGTCTGGGCCAGGCCAGAGCCTTGTGGTTCCGGGGCTGGGGCTGGGGGAGTGCGGTCCCATCTGGGTCATCAGCCTTGGTTTGATGGGATGTGGACCCAGCCCAGCCTCTGGCTCTTCTCTGCCCCGGTCTTTATTAAGGGCCTGGGCTGGCGCCAGGTCACTGTGGTGAGTACAGCACCCTCCCCGTCTCACTCGGGGCTTCCTGCAGCCTTAGCCGGCCACGCCATCCTCATCATGTCTCAGAGATGAGGAGGCCGAGGCATGGGGAAAGGTGACGTGGGTGGACGCTGGCCTCTCTGGCTGTTGGCCCTGCGCCCTGAAAGGCCCCGCGCTGTCTCCTGCAGGCCCCGAGGGCCGGGCCCTGCGTCTGCCGCCGCTCCTGGGCTTTGCCTGCCAGGTGGCTGAGGGCATGAACTACCTGGAGGGGCAGCGCATCGTGCATCGGGACTTGGCCGCCAGGAACGTGCTTGTGGACGATGGCCTGGCTTGCAAGGTGGCTGACTTTGGCCTGGCCCGGCTGCTCAAGGTCAGCGGAGGCTCTGGGCCCCTGACTGCTCGAGGGGGTGGGTGAGGGGGGCCCCAGTCCACCTGTCCTACCAGGGGCCTTCCCTGCCCCCAGGACGACATCTACTCCCCGAGCAGCGGCTCCAAGATCCCGGTGAAGTGGACAGCACCTGAGGCGGCCAGTTATCGTGTCTTCTCCCAGAAGTCGGACGTCTGGTCCTTCGGCGTCCTGCTGTATGAGGTTTTCACCTATGGCCAGTGTCCCTACGAAGGTGCATCCCCAGGCAGCCGCAGGGAGGAGGCAGGCTCTGCCCTGGAGTTACTGGCCCCGGGCCTGGACGCTGTTAGCAGGGGATTGGAGGGTCTGGCCAAGGGCAGGCAGGTGACACGGGGGGCTATGGGAGGCCTCCATTGGGACCCCCAGGCAGAATCAAGGCAGCTCTTGCCCCACGCCTCCCAGGGATGACCAACCACGAGACGCTGCAGCAGATCATGCGAGGGTACCGGCTGCCGCGCCCGGCTGCCTGCCCGGCAGAGGTCTACGTGCTCATGCTGGAGTGCTGGAGAAGCAGCCCCGAGGAACGGCCCTCCTTCGCCACGCTGTGGGAGAAGCTGCACGCCATCCACAGATGCCTTCCCCGAGTCCTCACGTGACTCAGGGCTCCGGGCTCCACCAGGCCAGCCCCTCCTCCCTGCAGAGCGTCCACTCGAAGGGATGCTGGTCGGCCGGACCGAGGAGCCTCTGGCTATGGGCCTCAGGCACCAGCGTGCACATGCATTTGTGCACCAGGCAGACACGTGGCTGTGGGCCTCAGGTCCTGGCGTGCACACGTGTTTGTGCACCAGGCAAACATGTGCAGACGGTGGAGGGCTCACGTTCTCTGTGCAGTGTGACACGTGTCCCTGGCGTCTCAAGAGAGACAACAGCACAGGAAGGTGGGGAGAAGCCTCGGAGGCTCTAGGCGGGGAACCCGAGCCCAGCGTGTCTCTTGTCCGGGTCCCCTGGACTCCCTCCCAGGGTCAAGAGCCAAAGGCCCAGTTCTCTCCCCAGTCCCAGCTTGGGTCTGTGGAAGTGACCAGTGCTGGCTCCCAGGCAGACCATGGTGTTGACCCCACTGGGTGCGTGGTGTGTAGGCACGGGGAGGCACCATCACCTGCCCCTCACAGACACGCTGGCAGGCTGTGCACAGACTCACTCATGCACCCGGCACTCAGTAAGCTGCGACTGACCCACGCAGACACGTGCACAGGCTCACATCACACACAGGCTCAGCCCCCAAACGCAGACCCAGGAGCTGGAGCACGGGAGTCCACGTGGCTAGAAAATGCAGGTTGGAGCGGCCCCCGTGCGGCTCAGACCCCCAGCCCAGGACATCACGCTGCCCAGACAGTGTGAACCCCAAGGTCATTGGCGGGAGCTGCCTGAGCTCCCAATTCCATCTCCCTGGGCGGGTTCCAGGGGGCACAGGAAGGGGGGGCCGGGAGGCTTGGTGGCCTGGGAGCTGCCCTTGGAGGCTATTTCCAGGGGCCTCAGGTTGGGCCCTGGGGGACTTGGAGTCTTCTGGCTGTTCAGGATCAGGCAGGGTCGGCCGGGGGGTCAGAGGTAGATGCCGTGGTGTGCTGGGCAGCAGCTGGCTCAGGAAGCCTCTGGGTGTGAGTCCTCGGGGGCCACCGAGGCAGGAGGGGCAGGGACGTGCAGGGTCGGCCCTCGCTCACCCCATGTCTGGCTCAGGGAAGCTTCTGCTCAGGTCTTTGTGAAATCAGAAGCAAGGGGCCCGGCGGGGTCTGTTTGGGGTCCCCGGAGACCCTGCCCCCCACCCTCCTGGGAGCCCAGGTTGGCAGCTGTGCCCCAGAAGGCTTTGGAGACAAGTTCAGGCCTGACTGAGTTCCTTGTTCCCTAGAGTTAGGGTCAGCTTTGCACCTGCCGAGCCAATGCGCTGATGGCCACTGTCCACAGGCCAAAGCCTGACTCGGGAGGGAGCTAAGAGATGAGACTCCCATGCGCAAGGGTCAGTGGCCCCGGGGAGGGAAGAGGCCACTCGGAGGCTCAGAGAACGGAGGCAGTGCAGGGGCTTCCTGGGGCCCGTGAGCAGGAAGAACAAGGCCAAGCAGAGGGAAGCAGCAGGAACCAGAACCCCTGCAGATGGTGGGGGCCAGAGGCTTTCTCTGAGCCGTTTGGGACCCTGGCCAGCTGCCCAGTTCCATCTGCATGGGAGAACCTAGGGGAAGGGCTGGCTCTGGTACCTGGGCCCACTGAGGCCTTGAGCTGAGCTTCGGATTTTGGCATGTCCCCAGCGCCACAGCCTGGGGGCTCCTCTGGCACAGAAGGCCTTGCTCTCTGTGCTTTCTGTGGCCGCCACTGGGATTAAGGGGACCAGGTGTGTCTGTGGCATCCGTGCCCTCCCAGGCATCTCACCAGCCACCAGCTGAACAAGTTTGGTGCTCCTGGATATCGGGGAGGGGCCAGGGACGTTCCTGCCTCCTGGTGTGGCTTAGACTGAACGTCCTGCACATCCAAACTCAGGGACACTCGAGGCTTCCTGGACACAGACTCACGGCCCAGAGGCCCAAGGCTGGAGGACACCGGGGTGGTGGCAGAGCTGGTGGGCTCTGAGGGACGCTGCCTGGGCAGATGCCCCAGCGCCCTCCTCCGGCATGCCCCACCTCCATCCCTCCCCCTGCATCTCTCCCGACTGACCCCCGGCAGAGCTGGCAGGGCCTGAGGGACACTGCCCAGCCCAGCACCCCGCTGCCCCTCCCTACCTTGGTCAGCCCTGAGCTGGGCTGCCCAGAAATCTATGAACCTGTTAAATAATTATAGTTCTTAATCTCCAAACAATGAGCGGAAGGTTCCATTATTTCTCTTTGCAATAAAAATAAAAGTTCAAATACGCAGAGTTTAGGACTTTCCCTGCCATTCCTTGCAGACTTTGAATTTCCCTCCTCACCCCTTCCTGCCCCCTGAGGCTGCCGATCCAGGCCCCTGCGTTGAAGCCCCTGGTGGACACAGGAGGGTCAGCGGAGGGTGGGGCGGGCAGGGGCTCCTGGGGAGGGGGTGTCTTGAGTCTCAGGGGCTGGGGGACAGGCGGCCTTTGGGTGCAGGTGGGGGTCACGCCAGGGCTCACTCAGGCATGGGTGGGGAGAGGGGAGGTGAGCTGGAAGGGAGCAAGGGTCACGGGGCTGGGCAGGAGGTGGCAGAGGCTGGAGGCTGGAGGAGCTGGCTGGGAGGGAGCTGCGCCCCGGGCCCCAGCGCTGTGGGCGCCTCCAGGCCACACTCACGGTCCTTCCCTGCCCCCTGGCGTCCGTGTGGAGGAAGGCAATGCCCGTTTCTTCAGCTGCGGGTGCCCCTGGCTCTGCCTCCCCAGGGATCCCCAAAACCCTCGGGCCCTCCTCTTCTGGGAAGTCCTCCCGGCCGACCCACACAGCTGTCACCGCCCTGACTCCAATCCCTCTTCCCTGCTTGGCCCTTACCTGAGGGCGGGCCTGCCCATGAGGCGGCTCTCAGGATGCCCGCCCACAGCAGCTCCTGGCATTGGGCCCCGTGCTCAGGGGTGGAGTCTGGGTCTGGGTGAGGGGAGGCACCAACGGGTGGAGGAGAAGCTTCCAGAAGTGGGGAGAGAAGCCCCCACCTGTGCCCCCACAGCTCTGAGGGTTGGGAGGCAGCACCTGCAGCCCTCACCGTCCTGCCCTCAGGCTGCAAGGCTCATTCCCAAGGGGGCCCTTGGGTTCCCTGAGTGCCTGAGTGTCCACAGGTTGGACCCCCGAGAAGCCCCAGCTGGGGAGTACTCCTCCCTCCCTCTCCTGTGCTCAGGCCGGCCCTGTGGCTGCTTGCCCAGCAGGTTCCCGTGGCGGGGGCACTAAGTGCCCAGATGGGCCCCAGGGGGCGTGAGGACTCGTGGGGCCGGCTGGGCCCTCAGGAGGAGCTGGGGTGCTCTCGAGCGCCTGTGGGTGCTGGGTGTGGCTGCTTCCCTGCCTGTCACGAGGAAGTGGGACCGCCCGCCTGCCACGCCCAGCCCTAGGTGCTCCAGCTGCCACAGCCTGGTCCTGCCACTGCGCCAGCCATGGTGTCCCGGGACCAGGCTCACCTGGGCCCCAAGTATGTGGGCCTCTGGGACTTCAAGGCCCGGACGGACGAGGAGCTGAGCTTCCGAGCGGGGGACGTCTTCCATGTGGCCAGGAAGGAGGAGCAGTGGTGGTGGGCCACGCTGCTGGATGAGGCGGGTGGGGCCGTGGCCCAGGGCTATGTGCCCCACAGCTACCTGGCCGAGAGGGAGACCGTGGAGTCGGAACCGTGCGTGTCCTGAGCTCCTGGGAGCTTTGGCGCAGGCCACCCTCTAGGCACAAGGGAGGGACAGGGCTCTGGGCTAGCCCCAGGGAGGCCCAGGAAGGTAGGGACCCCGGGTCCATCTTCCTGTACCCCGAAGTCCAGGCTGGGCATCCCGCTTGGTCCTCGCTCCAGGCCCCATGCGCTGGCACCTGGGAGTGCCCACAGGACTGTCGCTACAGGAGTTGGAGCAGGGGGCTCAGAGGGCATGGCCCCTCCCTTGGGCTCATCCTTGTCACAGCTCGGTGGTGGACACAGCTCTGGTGGAGGACAGAGGTCCAGGGTGGACTTCTGGGGGTCCGGTGGCCAGTGACAAGGTCTGCTGGGGCGTTCCAGGGCCTTTGGGGGAACGAAGCTTGCTCAGTTTCCAAACTGCCAGAACCAGACACACGAGCTAGGTAGGGGAGCAGGCCGGCTGCCAGGCAAGCTTCCTGCCTGTTGTGCCCTGCGAGGAACCAGACGGCAGCTGGTGTGGTCCAGCCTCGGCTTCCATGGCTGCTCGGAGCTCAGGCTGGGGAGGGTCTGGGGGAGGGATTTCTACGACTCACACTCCTGAGATCCCGCTTTTCTCATCATTGATTGGGTACCTACTGTGTGCGTGCATGAATCACGGGCTGTGTAGGGTTAATTCCTGGGGGACCCAAGCAACAAGCAGGGGAGGCTGTAAAGAGGCCATTGGGCAGGGGCCCATGGTGGAGACTCCTGTGTCACATCCAGACCCACCACCTCGTTAGGGAGCAGGGGTGCAGGGATAGGGTCTGGCCAGAGGCTGGTCAGCTCCCAGATGCAAAGACCCTGAGGCCCTGAGAACTCGCCCAGGTGAGGAGTGGGAAGGAGGCCAGGTGATTGGAGGGGTGAGTGGGGCAGTGCTCCCAGCTGTGCAGAAGCAGAGGGGGTAGACCCCAGGGGTTCCATGCTGGGCGGTGGTCTTCATGTGGGGTCTGTGTTCCAGTGGCCCCAGGGAGTCAGAGACACAAAGGGCTGGGCACAGGTCACCTGGAGCTTCTGTGAGCTCCACCTGGAAGTCCACAGTCCAGGGCTGGCCCACACCCTGCAGCCGGGAGTTAGTGTGTGTGAGTGACTGTGTGTGTGTGTGACTGTGGGCAAGTGAGCCCGCATGCGTGTGTGTGTGTTCGGTGTGCAGGTGAACTGTGTGCCTGTGTGGGGGAGCCCGCATGCATGTGTGTGTGTGTGTTCAGGTGTGCGGATGAACCATGCGCATGTGTGGGGGTATGCAACTGTGTGAGTGCATGTGTGTACGTGTCACACGTGGGTGTGTGTGCAGGCAGCTCTGGGCAGCCCTACTGCTCAGGTGCCCTCCCCAACTCCACCCTAGGCCTCTGACCCTTAGACATGGGCCTCTCAGGGCAGGGTGTGGTCAAGCCTGCCCCTCCCCCCGCTGGGTCCTCAGGGGCCTGTCCTGGCCATTTGGGACATTCAGGGCGTCTGGGTCAGCGACAGCTCCCAATAGCAGCTGTGGTCAGGGCTGGGAGCTTGAGGTGGCAGGCAAGGGTGGCTGTGGTTCCAGGTGGGCAGACTGGGGCCCGCAGCGGGTCCATGTGGGGTGGGCCCAGGTCCGCGCGGGCTCAGACTACTCCTCCCCTGCAGGTGGTTCTTTGGCTGCATCTCCCGCTCAGAAGCTGTGCATCGGCTGCAGGCCGAGGGTAACGCCACCGGCACCTTCCTGATCAGGGTCAGCGAGAAGCCAGGCGCCGACTACGTCCTGTCGGGTGCGGCCGGCCTCCGAGCCTGCGGGGGCTCCTTGCCCTAAGTCCTCCCATCCACGTGGTGAACCGGCTCCCTCGGGCTGTGACTGGGGACATGGGCTCCTCTCCAGGGAGCCCCCATCCCGTCCGCCCACCTGGCCCGCTCCTCCCTGGGGCCTGGGGCAGTCGTGGGGCAGGGCCCCTCCCTGGGAGGGCAGGGGCTTCTCCGGCCAGCCCTGCCTGAGGCACTCATGGGAAGTCCTGGCACCTGTGGGAACCTGGTCCAGCATGAGACCCTGAGTCCGGGGTGCACGAGGCGCGAAGAAACCCCATTCCTGCCCCTGAGGATCTCAGTGTGGCTGGGATTTCAGGCAGCTGCCATCCAGGCAGAGGCCATGGGCTGCCTGGCACGGGGGCAGGAGGGGCCAGAGAGCTTGGCCAGAGCAGGCAGGGCAGGAGGGAGCTGTTTCAAGGGAGGGGACGCAGGGATGGGTACTGAGGAAGCACCAACAGCAACTATGGGGACCCAGAAGCTCTGAGCAGGTGTGGCCAGCAGGGCTGGGGACGCACAGGGAGGCGTTGGAGCGGGATGGTGACACCGCTCACGCTCTCCCTCCCAGTGCGGGACGTGCAGGCTGTGCGGCACTACAAGATCTGGTGGCGAGCCGGGGGCCAGCTGCACCTGAACGAGGCGGTGTCCTTCCCCAGCCTGTCCGAGCTTGTGAACTACCACAGGGCCCAGAGCCTGTCCCACGGCCTGCGGCTGGCCGCGCCCTGCCGGAAGGTAGCCGCTCCGCCCTGACTTGGTCGTACAGGGTCAGGCTGGGGGGTCACAGGCTGGCGTTTCCTACTGGGAGAGGTTGGCCAGGCAGCATGGGAGGGGTCCTGACTCACTGAGCTGTGGCCGGCTGGAGGCAAGCCCGTGGTTCTGCAGAACACAGGTGTTTGCCTGAGTTGGGGGTGGGGCCAGGAGACCACCCCTGGGCCTGGCCACTCTCGGAGAGGCCAGCTGCACTCTGCAGGGTCCTGGCTTCAGTCTCTCCGGGTGTTTTGTGCTGGGCTTGGGGCAGCCACCGGGAGAGTCCAGCCTCATGTCAGACACTCAGAAACCCCCAACCCAAGCTGAACGTGGCCCTAAATCTGAGGCTAGATCCAGGCTCCCTGCGCTGGCTTCAGACTGGCAGTTCCTGAAGGATGAGCCCCTGCCCTGTGTCCCCGACTCTCCCTCCAGCATGAGCCTGAGCCCCTGCCCCACTGGGATGACTGGGAGAGGCCGAGGGAGGAGTTCACGCTCTGCAGGAAGCTGGGGTCCGGCTACTTTGGGGAGGTCTTCGAGGGGCTCTGGAAAGACCGGGTCCAGGTGGCCATTAAGGTGATTTCTCGAGGTGAGTGAGCCCCGGTCAGGGCTCTGTGTGGCCCCGTGCCCGCCCTGGGCCACCCTCCCGCTCCGCCAACAGGGACCTCCGGCCTCGAGCCCCACGCAGCACCCACAGCACCCATGCAGGAGTGGTTCCCTTTCAACTGCACCTGTTTTTACCTAAATACATTTATTGTAAAAGAAAATTTCAGGCCCGGCACAGTGGCTCACACCTGTAATCCCAGCACTTTGGGAGGCCGAGGTGGGCGAATCACGAGGTCAGGAGTTTGAGACCAGCCTGGCCAACATGGGGAAACCCTGTCTCTATTAAAAATACAAAAAAATTAGCCGGGCGAGGTGGCGGGCGCCTGTAGTCCCAGCTACTTGGGAGGCTGAGCCAGGAGAATGGCGTGAACCCGGGAGGCAGAGCTTGCAGTGAGCCGAGATGGCGCCCACTCCAGCCTGGGCGACAGAGCGAGACTCCGCCTCAAAAAGAAAAGCTTCCCTGGAAATTGCCTGGGCCCCAGCAGAGGTCTGGCCTCCACGTCAGAGGTCTGGGCCGGGCGCAGGAAGACATTGGGGGGCCACCACGGCCCCATGGGTACGCCAGGCTGGGGGCTTGTGGGGCCAGCTGTGTCCACCATTTCGTGGCCTTGGGAGCCAGGTGCCCTGTCGGGGGCAGGAGGTCCGGTGTTCTGCACAGCTGCTGAGTGTGTGGCCAGAGCCTTGCCTTGGCCTCTTCCTTGGGGCCAGGGGAGGGTCAGGGGCTGCACCTGCCAAGGCCACCCATCCCCGCAGACAACCTCCTGCACCAGCAGACGCTGCAGTCGGAGATCCAGGCCATGAAGAAGCTGCGGCACAAACACATCCTGGCACTGTACGCCGTGGTGTCCGTGGGGGACCCTGTGTACATCATCACGGAGCTCATGGTCAAGGGCAGCCTGCTGGAGCTGCTTCGTGGTGAGTGGCACGGGCCGGGGCTCTCGCTGGAGGTAGAGGGGGTGCACGAGGAAATAAAGTGCACACACACCCCCACGTCTGCACGCACACACATACAGACACACACAGACACACACACGCAGACACATAGACAAACGCGCACACACACAGAGACACATGCACACAGACACAGACACACGCACACACACAGACACACGCACACACACAGAGACACATGCAGACACAGACACAGACACACGCACACACATGCACACACAGACACACAAACAAGACACACAGATCACACGGACACAGATCACACGGACACACCAGGCACACACAGACACACACAGACACACACACACACAGATCACATTGGCTCAAAGACTTCATCGTCTCTAAGTTCCATTATTTCCTTTATCACCAAAATCAAAGACAATCACTGCCAGGGAATTGAGATGCCCTTGCGTGAAGACGCAGTTTGGATTCCGATGTTAGAATGGGAGGGAACGTTGTGGTGGAGGAAAAATGCCGTGTGTGTCTGAGGAGAGCTACACTGAGGCACCACTCACGTTTGAGCTCTGAGTGAAAGGCTCCGTGATCATCTCAGACGGTCCCCACGCCCTTCAGGGTCCTCCGGGACGGAACGGGGGGTTAACAGGCACCACCAGGCCGCATGCTGCTGTCACTCAGCCATTATCCTGCTCAAGTTCCCGCTGCCTACATCACGCAGTCATGAGCTTCTTCGCTGGTCCTTCCGCGTCGAGCTTCTCCCGCGTCACAGCAAACTTCCAGAAAGGAAATCGCTGGGCTAGGCCACTAGGAACCACTCCTTGGTTCTTTTTTTTTTTTTTTTTTTCCTGAGACGGAGTCTCACTCTATCATCCAGGCTGGAGTGCAGGGGCTGGATCTCAGCTCACTGCAAGCTCCGCCTCCCAGGTTCACACCATTCTCCTGCCTCAGCCTCCCGAGCAGCTGGGACTACAGGCGCCACCACCACGCCCGGCTCATTTTTTGTATTTTTAGTACAGATGGAGTTTCACCGTGTTCACCAGGATGGTCTCGACCTCCTGACCTCGTGATCCACCCGCCTCAGCCTCCCAAAGTGCTGGGATTACAGGCGTGAGCCTCCGCGCCTGGCTTGCTCCTTGATTCTTGACACACAGTTGCCTTCCACAAGGGCGGTGGCTGACCTGCAGTTCCAATTTTCAACCAGGCCAGCTGCCCTTTGCCCCGGCCCCTCCTCTGAGGCCGCAGAGCCTGGAGGCAGATGAGACACAGCCCAGCCTCCCCACCCTGTCCCTACCGCAGCTGGCTCCGCTGAGCCCAGGCTCCACTCCCCTCTGCAGATTCTGACGAGAAAGTCCTGCCCGTTTCGGAGCTGCTGGACATCGCCTGGCAGGTGGCTGAGGGCATGTGTTACCTGGAGTCTCAGAATTACATCCACCGGGACCTGGCCGCCAGGAACATTCTTGTCGGGGAAAACACCCTCTGCAAAGTTGGGGACTTTGGGCTAGCCAGGCTCATCAAGGTAGGGCCCTCGGAGGGCGTGGCCGGAAGGCTCGGGGGCTTCCTGTGTGTGGAGCTGGGGACTCGGCTGGGAGCAGGATGTGGTCTCTGCCCTCGGGAGCCCAGGCTGAGCAGGGAGGTGGGAAGCCACCGTGTGTCCGGTGGGGACCCCATTCCGAATGGCGCACACAGCAGGGCCCACCACGCAACCGCTGCCTCGTTCACTGGCCCAGCCCTGGGCCCCTCTGACGGCCTGGCAGCCTCCCAGTTCCCTGACCCCAGGCCTTCTCATCCCCATGCACCTGGAATCCCAGGGGAAGCTGGGCTCCTGAAGGTGGTCAGACCCTGGCGCGGTCTTAGCTGCAGCGGCCGTGCGTGCGTGCTGGGGCAGTGCGGCCGCTGTGCCCGTCATGCTTCGGGGGCAGGGCACAGGCAGTCCCCCGCGGCCCACTCAGCGCAGCCTGATTGCAGGAGGACGTCTACCTCTCCCATGACCGCAACATCCCCTACAAGTGGACGGCCCCCGAAGCACTCTCCCGAGGCCATTACTCCACCAAATCCGACGTGTGGTCCTTTGGGGTTCTCCTGCACGAGATTTTCAGCAGGGGTCAGGTGCCCTACCCAGGTACTGCCCCCAGTGTCCCTGACTGGGCGTGGGAGACAGAGTGGGGAAGGTCCTGGGTGGCCAGCAGGGATGGTGGCGGGTGCTTCCCCCACGGGCTGCAGGGCCCTCCGCCGCCAGCCATCGCCTGAACTCCACACCTGCACCATTCTCTGAGCACCCAGGCCAGTGCCTGGAGCTGCCCGTTGGAGCCCCATCCAGAGGGAGGTGTTAGCAGCGGACAGTGTGCTGGGTGGCGCCAAGGCACGGCCGCTGAGGCTGCGGGGAAGGCCCCAGGGAGGTGCAGTGGGTGGCTGGTATGGCTTCCTGGGGAAGGTGGACAGGTGGGCCCCAGCTCTTCTCATCCCTGTCGGCCGCAGGCATGTCCAACCACGAGGCCTTCCTGAGGGTGGATGCCGGCTACCGCATGCCCTGCCCTCTGGAGTGCCCGCCTAGCGTGCACAAGCTGATGCTGACATGCTGGTGCAGGGACCCTGAGCAGAGACCCTGCTTCAAGGCCCTTCGGGAGAGGCTTTCCAGCTTCACCAGCTACGAGAACCCGACCTGAGCGGCTGTGGAGCGGGCACAGCCGGGCCCTGCTGAGGAGGGCCCTGGGCAGAGGGCCTGCACCTGGGGTCAAGGCCCACGCGCCACCCTAGGGTTTACTGAGGTGATGGGTGCAGGAAAGGTTCACAAACGTGGAGTGCCCGCGTCCCACACACGCGTGTGCTCTCGTTCCTCCGTCGTGTGAAACGTGGAGTGTCCGCGTCCCATACACGCGTGTGCTCTCGTTCCTCCGTCGTGTGAAACGTGGAGTGCCCGCGTCCCATACACGCGTGTGCTCTTGTTCCTCCGTCGTGTGTGCCTCGGGTCTCAGCTGCTGACAGGCAGCCTGCTCCGGAGCCTGCAGGTGAGATCCCAGGAGACTGACACGAAGCCAGCCGAGGTCAGAGGGGATTCCGACCACAGCCTGCTCTCTGGATGTCTGTCTGTAGTACCCGGCTGAGGGTGGGAGGCAAACACGTCTTGCCCCTGCTTTTCCCAGCTCAGCTTGGCAGGAGAAAGTCATTCGTACGGCTCGCGACTCTTGTGTAAATTTGGTTTTGGTGCCCACAGGTGCTTTCCTCCCAGGGACAGGTGTTTCTTTCCTGTTTGTCTTGTACCTCGAGAGCCTGGCTTTGTGACCAGGGAGAACTCTCTCCCTAGTTTCCGCCAGCCCGAGCATCACTGCCCAAGGCGCCAGCTCTTAGGGGGTTTGTAACAAGAGGTTCCCCATCCACGAGGGGCTTTTCCCGCCTCCACCTTTGTTGCTGGGTCAGTGCTGGAAAGCACTTCTGACTCCTGCCCTGAGAAGGACCCTTCTCTGCTGTCTGTGGGGCGGTTCCGGGCTGGGGGGCTGCCTCCTTTGCACCTGCTTTTGAAGGTGTCTCTTTCATCCATGATTAAGTCATAAAAAGCTGATTGGTTTTGGTTTTGACTCACCTGAAAGTCTTTTTTGTTTAAAAGAAGAACAGGCCGGGCGCGGT